TGCAGCTTAGCATTGGTGTAGTGAGTCTGCAGGTCCTAAAATGTGTTGAAGCTGCAGGTAACTTAATCCGGAGTTACTTCCCAAATCAATGTATAGATTTGTTTGCTTAAACCATCCTGCATATTTGTCCAAGATCAGATTATATATATATATAATAAAAAATTACAGTTAGCCGTACAGGTTGACGTTATCGTCACTCATTTCCTCCTTGCATTTCATCTCCCTCTGACCACCCTCTCTGATCTCTTTCCGGTCCTGCAGGAGAACGATGAGGTTCTGGTGGCAGGATTTGGACGTAAAGGTCACGCCGTAGGAGACATCCCCGGAGTACGATTCAAGGTCGTTAAGGTGGCCAATGTGTCCCTGCTGGCACTCTACAAAGGCAAGAAGGAGAGACCCAGGTCATAAACAGTCGAGGCAGAAAATAAAATAAACAGGTTTTCAATTACAGCCTGGTTGTTTCGTGTTCTCATTTGCTTCTCGCTCACAAATTTTACTTTTTAGAACAGTGGTTCTCAACATTTTTTGGGCCAGCGCCCCCCTATCCATTATCCAGGTCCCTTTCTGCCCCCCATCAAAAAAGATGTTTGCTATTTTCCCTGAATATTGTTTTGTTTGTTTGTTTCTATTTAAAAACATGGAAAATGCACATAATTGAATGACAAATTATTTTCCCAGGTAACAAAAAGCCATGTGGAGAGTAATTAACTAATTAGTGAATGTTCCTCCCAGAAACTGTGTGAAGCCACACCCGAAGATTGAGCATTGAACACTTAATTTCCTGTATTCTGGTGAAAATGTTTGCTCCACTTTATGCCTTTTCTGCACCAATTTATGGTGGAAGTGTCATTAAATAAAGGGAAACAAGTGCCAGGTCACAATTTAAAATATATAATAATAGAATATAATGTGAGACTCTTAGACATTCTATATTGCTTTTTAATATTTTTATCCTGTAGATAACATTTAATATCCTTGTTGAGTCAACACACATGATTAAGTCTTGCCACCTCTGTTGTGGTGAAGTAACCTATTTAAATGTTTGTGGCCCCTTTTCATCTCAGTGATAAATTAATCAGTTTTATTGACTGGACTTTATTAGTTCATCTGTTAATAACATAACTGTTTCCCACAAAATGACAGTGTAAGGCGCAGCTATATACAGCATGCTAGCCTCGAAAACTCAGCTGTATTCTAACATTAACTTAACTCTCCTTATTAGCTAGGCTCCTTACATGCTTGCTAATAACTTTTTTTAAGATGGTTCTCAAACATTGAAAGCATTGTGTTGAAAGCGATTTGTGCAAATACGCGCTGCCTGTAGCCAGGGGCGGATTGGCCATCTGGCAATTCTGTAAAATGCCAGAGGGGCCGGACCATCTTTTGGGGGGTGGGCTGGTCAGATTGCTGATATCGGTGTTTCCCCACACATAGGCTTTACTCGGGCGGGCTACTCAGGTACGTTTAGGGCCGCGGAAGTATATTTGGCAACCCATTTGTGTTTTGCAGAGAAACGAAGAGAGATGCTATCTATCACCTTTTATAAGAATAAGACGAGCTGGATTTTTTATAAGCAGCGACCAGATGCAACAGTAAAGACGGTGCAGATGTCTGGGTACAACCTGAGTTTCGGTTTTGATAGGCTTCCCCATTAAGAAGCCTCCTCCATGCACCTGCAGCTGTAAACGGAATCGCAGGTGGAAATCGCGAGTGGTGTGTCATTTCGGCCACTCTATAAAGACGAAAATATGTTCAAGTGTTCAGATTGTAAGTCAGCATTGTTTGTTCACACTGTTCAACTTTATTTATTTTTTATCTAAGCACCCATTTATTGGTTACATTATCAAAACAGCATATCTACAATCAACTTGTATTGTCACATACAATTATACACAGCATGTAGAATGTTTCTCTGCATTTAACCCATCTTAATAATGAGCAGTGGGGAGCCATTGTGCAGCTGGTTCAGGGCCTTGCTCAGGGACATCTTCCTGGTCCTTGCTGGACTCGAACCAGCAAATTAAGCCAGCCTTTTGAACTTAACAGATTTTTAAATTTGGGTTAGCCTATAGTACATTTCGCTTGCATAAAGCGACTCTGCTGGAAAGATTTTTAGTAGCTTAATGCTAATATAATGTCAGAAATGGGTCCCTGAAGTCCTGAAATATTAAAAAAAATAATAATTAAAATGGACTTAGTGGACTGCATAAATATTACTTAAATCTTTACTTTTTAAAATATGCCTGTGATTCATGTGTACAAACACCAATGTAGCCAGCTACCGCTGAAGGTGCTGATCATTTTGAGGAATTTGGGGTGGACAGGGGTGGAGTCATGGATCGAACCACAAGATTTGTGGACGACCCCCACTAGTATTTTACTTCATGCCATGCACAAAATAAATGTTTAGAAACTGTCGGGACTCCATAGAAAAGAGTCACAAAGCTTAAAAATATGCTTTATGTGAGGGAAGCATGTGTTAATGTGGATATACAGAATTTCTGAACCTAATTGGGAATGCAAGCAGAGTGTTCATGGCGTTTGGAGCAGGCAAATATGCAGTACACTGATTGATTGTATGAAACGAAACATTTACTGGGAAGTCTACCGCACCACACAGAGGCCTTGAATTATTTTAAATACAGATTTATTCATCTGTTGCTGACTTTTTGTAAAGAAAAACTTGATAACCCGATAAACAAGTTAGTATTATAATAGAGACAAAAATCGATTGGCATGTGCCTTGATCTCCTGTCCCATAGCGTGTGGTTGCTGGCCCAGATGGGGTGATATGATTGATTATGTCAATCAATCAATCAATCATACACTACATCAGAATATAATTATTGAAACATGGACCTAACCACTTTGTCCGGTTGTTTGTGCTTCAAAAATCATGGATAAAAAACATGCAACGAAACGCTAAAGTGGTGCTAAAACTCCCGAGAGGAAAACATTTTTGCTCCAGGCATGTGCAGCTAAGTGCCTCAAAATTACAGCCTCTTCTTTTGGTGCTGCTGCTTCTTCTACCAACGCCAGTGGACACATCAGTGAGGAGACCAGAAGCCCCAATACCAACGATGACATGGGTGAACATGAGACAGACAGCAGAGATGAGGGCAATGGCAAAACAGAATCAAGGCCAGCACAGTCCCCCAGAACCCAAGCAAGGCACCAGTAACATGGTACGATGATATATGAAATGGTTGATGATAATATGGTTTATTTGACCAGCTAATAAGGTAGCTAACGGTTACACAAGTGTCAGTGGGACATTAATATAATGACTTAACGTTTTTGTTTAATTAGCTGAGAGAATAACCACAAGTCAGATCTTTTTCTGGGTTACTGAAACAAAAACTACTAAAATGATAAATGTTGGCCCTGTAATTATGAACCTGCTGTAGCTACTGTCTAGTTGAAATTATGGTACTACGACTGCTGCCTTATGGTAAAATCGGCCCCTGACTAGAACCATTAGGACTAATAGGACTAGTGCTGATAAAGGTAGGCTATATCCTAAACAGTATGTACTAATATGAAAAACTATCATTTTAATATTTTACTGATAGTGTTAGGCTGTTTTAGTGGTATAATAACATAATATAATAATACATGTCAAGAGATTGAGAGTTTCTTGATTGGTCAATTTACCTTTGTTTTAGTTTTTATTGAAATGGCCTGGGGCGGCACGGTGGTGCAGTAAGAAGGTTCGAAACCTTTCGTCCCAGATCCAAAGCATCTGTCTTAGTGTGTTCTTGGGTTTAAACCCAAGAACAGATTCTGGTACACCCCAAAGACCGCACACCCAAACACAAGAAAAGCAATCTAGTGTATGCGGTCCAATGCAGTGAGGAATGCACAGACCTGTATATTGGGGAGACTAAACAACCACTACACAAACGCATGGCTCAACACAGAAGGGCCAACTCCTCAGGTCAAGACTCTGCAGTCTACTTACATCTGAAGGACAGAGGACACTCGTTTGAGGACCACCAGGTGCACATTTTAGACAGAGAAGATGGATGGTTTGAAAGAGGTGTCAAGGAAGCCATCTACACCAGGGTTGAGAAGCCGTCATTGAACAGGGGAGGGGGTCTACGCCACCACTTATCCCCCACTTACAATGCTGTCCTTTCATCACTTCCCAGGAAACTCAACAAACGTAACCTATTGGCCTCAGGTGAAGATACCAACGATGGTCGTTCAGTCTTGGCCACAGGTAGTCTTAACGACTGTAACGACTGTCGTCACAGCAACAAGGAACACTAACGAACCAGTGGTATCGATGACCCGGGCCAACGTCCCCACTGAGGTTAAATAGCTGAGTTTCCCTGCCAGTCAGTCAGAACTGAAGAAGTCCTTTGGATGAGGGACGAAACGTCTTCCAGTAGCTTCACCCAAGTCCAGTTGCCCTTGATTTTAACCTTCGTTGGATGTGAGTGGTTGTTCGTCTATGTGTGGCCCTGGCGACCTATCCAGGGTGTACCCTGCCTTTCGCCCGATGTCAGCAGGGATTGGCTCCAGCCCCCCGCGACCCTGTATGCAGGATAAGCGGTTGACGATGGATGGATGAAATGGCCTGTAGAGTTGCTGTTTTTTGTTGTCCTCTAGTGGTAGATTTTGGGTATAAAACTCTTGCACACTGTCTAACTTGCAAAATATATATATATATAATATTGACACAACGTTTTGGTACTATACCTTCATCAGGCAAATGGTGTTAATATAATAATATCATAAAATGCACTCATAAATAGATATACTCACACATCTTAATGGTGCCTTATATATCAATAGACAAATAACTCAGAGGAAATAGCAAATTAACATAATGCTAGATAAATAGAGGAAAAAAACCTAATACACACAACATATGACCCCCCCCCCCAAAAAAAAGGTCCAAAAAAAACCACAGTCTCATACTTCAATATTGTAGATGTAAACTCAAAATTTAATTTATAAAATGTCTTGAAAAAGAGGAAAAAACATCACCCACCATAAATGTCAAAATCTTCACATTATATATACGTGCAACAAATAAAAATGAAAATGTAGATTTTGGGTATTCACAGTATTGTTTTATTCCGTTTGGTATAGCCTGAGGTGATTACTTTACTTGAAGATAGCTAGATAGGTGTTACTAGTTTTGAAAATGTATTTTAATGGCTCATTTTGTGATGTGATTTGAATCCTCAGGATGCTTTACTGTCGGTATGACACAGGACTGATAGTAGCGCTAACCTTGTCTTCTCCGGACAAGCTTTATTCCGGTTGCCCCAAACAATCGGAAGGTACCTGTACCTTTTGCAGAATACCAGTCTGTCCCTGATGTTTTTCCAGGAGAGAAGTGGCTTCTTTCCTGCCCTTCTTGACACCAGGCCATCCTCCAAAAGTCTTCGCCTCACTGCGTGTGTAGTTGCACTTACACCTGCCTTGCCTGCTGACATTCCTCTGCACTGGTGGTGTGCAATCCTGCATCCTGAACCTTTCTCTTTGAAGTTCTCGATGATCTGATAAATGATTGATTTAGGTGCATCTTACTAGCAGCAATGTTTTTGCCTGTGAAGCTCTCTGTGTGCAAAGCAATGATGATGGCACATGTTACCTTGCAGGTAACCTTGGAAGAACCATGGTTTTAAGCACCATCCTCCATTTAAAGCTTTCAATCCGTTATTCTAACAGAATCTGTGGACTTTAATGATAATTTCCATTAAATAAAAATCACTATTAAATTGTGATAAAGTACAAATTTGGTGATAAAATAAAAGTACTAAATAAAATCTGACAAAATGGGATCTGAAACAAATATAAGACAAGTATTTGTTGTTGCCATCCTTTTATATGTTTGCGTGTTCATATTCAACTACTTTCTTTGAATTTTGTCTGTCTCCTCACTTCTGCATCACCCTGACTTGCTGCTGTGCAGTTGCTCTGCCGGCTGTACAGATCGTACTCCCGGTACAGGATGTAGTCCTTCAGTCGCCCAGGCAATGGCAGGAAGCTCATGAAGAAGGGCAACCGGAGACGCCGGCGACCAAGACAACAACGTATCCGCAGACGACAGAGATGCTGCAGACAACGGACGTTCTCTGAAGAGGAGGAGGAGGAGGAGGAGGAGGAGGAGGAGGAGGAAAGATTGATGAGACCACTGGTTGTATTCTCGTTTCTCATTTGTCTCCCTCTGTTGTTTCTGTTGTCACAGTCAGGGCAGGGAGCAATAACTATAATTTACCTTGCAGCCTACAGATGTCGGGCCACTGCTTCTGTTCCATCACAGCCGCCTTCAGCTTGGAGCACAAAGTCACATGATCCACGTAGTCCAACAGGATGCGAACCATCTGACCTGAGAGGTGCTTCAGCCAGGAGACAGTGATCACCTCACAGAACTGCACTGACAGACAGACAGAGGCGTGACTGAGGTGTAGGTTCAACAACAGGTTAAAACTATATTGTAATGCACAAAATCCTTCGCACCTCTGAGATGACTGAACGGCTGTAAAAAACAAAATGAGATAAAACAGTAACATGAAAAACAGCTGACTGAGTTGTGTAGGGAGATCTAATTTCAGACAGACTATGGTGGAGAATTTGGTTTGTGACAGAACTTCAGTACATGCAGGAAATTTAAACGAATGTAAGGTATGTATTTGATTTTATGTTTTTACTTTGTTACACATATTCATGCCTCTGTAACTTTGGTGATCCTCTGACTTATCTTCTGGCACCACTAACAGGCCAAAATACCTCCAGCACTTCACTTCATGACAGGATACCTCTAAAACTAAATAAACTACAAACTCTGGCTCAAGCTAAATGTTCAGGTTATCTGTACAGATGGTTTCTTAAGCTGCTTCAATCAGTATTTTTTTATATTAACAAGGAATTCAAAGATTCAAAGTTCAAAGTAGTGTGAAAGGCTCTATTGAGCTTTTTACGCTGATCAAAATTATAAAGTCAACACTTTTGCCCCCATTCATCATGAGCTAAACTCAAAGATCTAAGACTTTCTCTATGTACACAAAAGGTCCATTTCTCTCAAATATTGTTCACAAATCTGTCAAAATCTGTGAGCACTTTTTCCTTTGCCAAGATAATCCATCCACCTCACAGGTGTGAAATATCAAGATGCTGATCAGACAGCATGGCTGTTGCACAGGTGTGTCTTAGGCTGGCCACAATAAAAGGCCACTAGTTTTTGCAGGTCTGAAATATTTTAATCTTGGCTGAACCATGTAGAGCAGTTTGTAACTTTGTTTTGAAAAGTGCTGTATAAATAAAGTTGCCACAACAGAATAAATGGTAAATATATTTGGCTTTTCTTGGAACAGCTGCACGCTTTTGCAGGAAGGTATTCGTCAGTCACTTTCATTTTAGTTTTTCTAGCTAAGCTGTGAATATTAGGCTATACTATACTACACTATAAACAAAAACGATAAATACTATTATAAAGCGGTATGCTTTGTTCATTACCAAGCTGTCTTTGATTACAGAGTTGGTCCATCCCTCATAGCCTTCAGGGATGTGGGAGCCGCTGCCATAGGGACAGTCAAAGCAGCGCCCCACATCATAACCATAGTTACACAGCATCCTGAGGACCACCTAACACACACAACAGGCGGGATTTAATACAAGAACAGCTGTCCTTCCTAAACGATGAAAACTTTACTTACAGAAATAATATCAGTAAAGTTAGTAAAACTGCAGATTTGTAAATGCTCCATATTTGTACAGCGCCTTTCCAACCACTCAAAGTGCTTTTACACTACATCCACACACTGAGCCTAAGTGCTCAAACAGAAACTAATATTCACAGACATTCATACATATTCACAATTCAGGGTTCAGTATCTTGTCCAAGGACACTTCAACATGCAGCCTGGGGGAGCCGGGGATTAAACCGCCAACCTCCCGATTAACAGCCAACCTGCGCTACCTCCTGAGCCACAGCTGCCCCCAGATTTAAGTTTAAGAAATTATAAATCTAGTAACAGTTTACCTCGTCTTTGAGCGCGTACTGCAGAGCGGAAGGGAAGTGTGTTGTGTTTACTTTGCAGTAATAGTTGACGTTGGCTCCAAACCTCAGCAACAGATCAATCAGCTCATAGTTTCCCAAACGCAGTGCAACCTTAAAGACACAGTCACTGGATCAGCAACACAGGTTTCTGTTGGTGTTTTAAATGTTTTTAGCTCAGAGTTGACAGACTTACAAACAAGAGTACCATCATCAGTGTTACTATTTCTTGACAAACAACACATGTCCACACTGTACTTCTGTGCATCATCTCCAAATGTAGACAGAGCCACGTGTTCCTCTCTTGTTCTCACTTACATAATGCATTCCTTAACCCCATTACCCTAACATTAACCATCACAACTACAAACCTAACATTAACCCTTACCTTACCCTACACTTAACCTTAACCTAACTGTGATCCTAAACCCTAAAACCAAGTCTAAACTCTCAAAAAGCAGTCTGTACCTGTGGGGACCTAAATATTTGTCCCCGGAGAAACGAGTTGGTCATTGTTTATTGTGCATTCAGGTCAAAGTCCCTATTGGGATATAAAAAAAAACAAAAACACATGCCTGAAGACATTTGATTGGGTCTTGGTTGGCCATGGCCCCGCCCTCCAGCAGCAGTTTGGCTGATGGCACGTCATTATTGGAGACTGCGAAGAAGAGCGCAGACTTCCTCTCGTCGTCATAGCTACGTTGAACCCAGGGATGGAGCATATAGTTGGGGTCATAACCTGCATCCAGCAAGGCCTTATGGGAGTTGGGCAGGAGAGACATTCAGTTGTTGTTGATCAGTTGTGTGTTTAACAGACAGCTGTCACCCAATCGGAAGTATTTTCTAAGAAATTATACGACACAAAGAGCTGCAGCAACTATTGTCAAGCTGTAAAAAAATTTGTTGACAACTACTTTGATCATTGATTAATTAACTACTTCTGTAATTTTTCAGACAAACATTTGCTGGTTCCAGATTATGAAATGTGAAGGTTTAAATCTTTTGTTTGTCATATATGACAGGAAACTAAATATCTTTTTTTAATGTTGAATTTTAATGTCGAAGCTAAATGAACAGTTTTTATACATCTCCTTGGGCTGTGGGAAATTAAAGTATAACATGGATTTTTCAATATTTTTTTCAATATATCTGCCATTTTATAGACAAAACAATTGTTTAATTGTGAAAATAATCAGCTAGTTAATTGATAGCAAATATAATCCTCAGCGCTGACAAACCAACCATGAAAAATACTTGAATGTATGTAGTCATGGCTCGTAACACATGCGCACACCTTGATGCAGTGTGGGTGTCCTCCTGCAGCAGCAGAGTGTAGAGGACTCATCCCACTGTTATTTACTTCTTTGATAGAAGTGACTGGAATCAGCAACTTCAGAGCTCTAAGGGAACGCACGCACACACACACTTTATCTGATGCTGTAGTTGACTTTAAAAAAATTGTAATGCTTTTGCTTCAAAGGACAGAATATAACATTTACTCCAGGTATCCTTGGCGTGCAACACTGTGAATCGGCATGCGTCCTGTATGTTGGATGATGTTGGCGTCGGCGCCGTTGTCCAGCAAATGACGTATGACAGATGGATCTCCAGACAAAGATGCCTCGTACAAGATGGATTCTTTGTCCTGTCCCTGGGACTGGATGTCCGTCCCTGCAGGACAAACATAGAGGGAATTTTGTACAAAAAAGATTAGGAAAATACCCACTTGATAAGACTGTTGAAGCCTCATATTAGCTGAACTCATTTAGGATACAGATTCTCTAATCTGCAAAGGAAATAGTAACTTTAACCATCAAATAAATGTAGTGGAGAAAAAAGTAGTCTACTGCCACAGACAAGTAGCCTAGGCCTAGTAGTAGTAGGTCTAAAGTGATGTATAACATAGCAAACTCTTTTTTTGTATACTCCCTAATCAAAATCCCTCTGCCATCTGACATTCTGGTTGACTTTTTAAAGAGATAATGTTAATGTATATATGAATTGTTAATGTAAAGCTGTAGAGACATCCGTGCTCTCTCACCTCTACTCAGTAGAATCCCCTCCAGGTGTCCTCCCTGAGCGGCCAGTGTCAGCGGCATGAGGCCTAAGTTGCAGCGAGGGTCTGGCTGTGCTCCGGCCTGCAGCAGCAGAGTCACCAACGCCGCTTTGCCCAGCCCCGAGGCCTTGTGGAGGGGACAGCGACCGTAGTGGCCCTTCTGGTTCACCCAGGAGCCCCGCAGGATCAGGAACTTCACTAGGTCAGTGCAGTCTGAATGGATCACAGCAGGAGTCAAACACATTTTACAATTTAAATATTAAGCTTTATTATGTTGTCATTTTTGGTTCTTAATAATAATAATAATAATAATAATCCTTATTTGTAGAGCACTTTTCAAAAACAAGTTACAAAGTGTAAAGACAATAATACCCAAGAGACAACAATACAAAAAAACAATACAAGATAAAAGCATGAAAACATTGAAAAGACTAAAATACAGATAAATATAAAATTAGTAAAATACAATTAAAGGGATAAAATAAAGTCAAATAAGATCGGGAAAGGCTCTCCAATAAAAGTATGTTTTAAGAAGGGACTTAAAAGAGTTCACTGACTCAGCTGACCTGATTTCCTCGGGCAGGCTGTTCCAGAGCCTCGGGGCCCTGACAGCAAACGATCTGTCCCCTTTAGTTTTCAGTCGAGACTCTGGAACAGACAACAGACCTCTGCCCGAGGATCTAAAGGTACGTGCTGGTGTGTATGGGACTAAAAGGTCAGAAATATAACAAGGCGAGAGGCCATGAAGAGCTTTAAAAGTAATCAATAGAATTTTAAAGTCAATTCCAAAACATAATGGGAGCCAGTGTAATGAAGCTAAAATAGGAGTAATATGGTCATATTTCTTTGTTCTGGTTAAAAGCCTGGCAGCTGAGTTCTGGACAGTCTGGAGTCGATCAATAGATTTTTGGGTTAAACAGGTGAAAAGGCTGTTGCAATAATCCAGGCGTGATGAGATGAAGGCGTGTAAAATGGTCTCAGTGTCCTTAAAAGTTAACATAGATCGAATTTTAGCTATATTTCTAAGTTGATTGAACAAGCTTTGTGGTGTGCTGCTCGAAATTTAAATTACTATCAAACCAAACACCAAGGTTCTTTGCCACAGGCTTAATGTGATTTACTAGGGAACCAGCAGATGGCAGTATTTGATTTGCCATCTGCCAGAGACCCAATGACCAGGATTTCTGTTTTGTCTGAGTTCAGCTGGAGGAAATTATTTGACATCCATTTTTTAACTTCACAAAGGCAGTTGTTAAGTGAACTCAGCATTCCAGGGTCTGTGGAATATTATATTATTTATTCAATATATTAAGGGACAATAACATGAGTATGGGTTAGTTTACTATGAGCAGAGATGTTTGACAGGGGAACATCTTCCAAGTTTCTGCATATGGTTTGGTGTTATATGATTTGTAAGAGCTGCATTACCAAGCTACAATCTTCTGGCATTGATTTGACAACATGATAGCAAACATGGTAAGAATGTAACATACACATTAAAAGTTGGAATTTAAAACAATTTATTTACATAATGAACATCAAGCTATTTGTACTCAGATGTCAAATATGTTCAGAATAATCTACCGAGATGTCTGGAAATTTGAGTGGAAAAGTTTGGAATTTTGAAATGGAAAATGTGTAGGAACCCTGGACAGCTGAAATTATTAAAACTGAAACACATCGGTTCCATCAGATGCACATGAGACGGAAAATTAGGTAAAACACGTGGCTCCAGTGTGCACTTCCAAGTGTTTCACATGAGCTGCATCTTCAAGCACCCTGAACCTCAGCAGTCAGATTTAGTTTTAACCTTTAACAGCTGAATGGTCCCACACAGATAATAAAATAACATGCTTTGTGTCCAGTTGGATACAAAGGTCAGGTATGCCGGCAGTTTATATTATATACAGATGTATCATTATCCTTTACATTGTATTTGTTTCCTGTTAATGTTAGCTGCCCTTGTCCCAAGGTAGGATAACTGTCCCATGATTACTATTTGTCAATTGTTTTTTGTAATTTGATTAATTACAAATTTGTTATAGAATTTGAACCTTTAAAGTCCATTTGTAGCTAGTGCAGGCTTTGCATTACAATTCATTTCAAGTATCAGGGAGCTGTAACCACATACAGTTGCCCTTGATTTTAACCTTCCTTGGTATTTTTACCTCAGTATACTAAGTGCTTTCCAGTTTGCCATTTGGAAAAGCAAGGTGCGGGTCTGCCCATCAGGAGAAACTTGGTGTTCAGTGTCTTGCCCAAGAGCACTTTAGGACAGAAGGAGCCCAGGACTGAAATATTAACCCCACGATTAGAACCACTGCTGCCTCCTGCAGACTGGCCCTTGCTGGGTTTGTTAGTTTTTTATATAGAAGCCAAAATTGTAAGACCTTAATTATTCTACTTTATATTGTACACACATGCTGCATATTCCTACACTGCCTATTCCCATATTTGTTTAATCAAATCACCACAAACTAACAGACACACAGGGCTATACAGTTCTACTAGTTGTTGGTCTTTGGGCAAGTAATGAAGCTGCTGTGTAGAGCTGCAATGATTAGTTGATAATCAATGAAATCAGGGGCCAGAAAATGAATCTGCAACTATTGCTTAATTGTTTGCAGTTTTTTTTTCAAGCAAACATGCTAAACATTCTCCAGATCCAGATTCTACAGTATGAGGATTTGCTCCTATTCTCTTTTATATTGTTGTAAACTGAATGTTTTTGGGTTTCAGACTGTTGGTCGACCAAAACAAGATAACATCACATAGATCTTAGGCAAAATGTGATGGATTTTCTTTGTATGTATCATTAGTGGCAGCCCTAAATTAAAGGTGATGATGTACATACACACTACCCAGGGTGCTGTAAAGTCAGAAGTTGAGGTAGGGTATCAACAGGGGCCCAAAACTGAATATTTAGGCCATTAACACATTAATCCAGCCGTGGTCTGTCCTACAGTCACACACTGTCTGTTTGTTGATAAATTCACTGTGTAACCTTAGCCGGAGAGGGTAAATATAGTAACAAGTACCAGATCCCCTTTTCCAAGTAGGCATCCAGCTCTGGTTTAAGTTACAGGTCAGAGACGTCTCCTCCTGCCAGCAACAGCAAAGATCGTCTCCAGAATTTGCTAGCACTTTACAGCCGAGTCGAGGGAACCAAAACAAAAACCCAAAACAAAACCGCAAGGTAAAAACCCAGTGAGATCTGTCAGCACAGAAACCCACAGTGAGTGTCATAATACACCCTCACTGGCCACTTTATTAGGTACACCTTACTAGTACTGGGTTGGACCCTTGCGTCTTCAAAACTGCCTTAATTCTTCGTGGCATATTTTCAACAAGGTGTTGGAAACATTCCTCAGAGACTTTGGTCCACATTGACACGATAGCATCACGCAGTTGCTGCAGATTTTTCGGCTGCACATCCATGATACAAATCTCCAGTTCCACCACATCCCAAAGGTGCTCTATTGGATGGAGATCTGGTGACTGTGGAGGGACATCGGAGTACAGTGAGCTCAATGTTCAAGAAACCAGTTTGAGATGATTTGAGCTTTGTGACATGGTGCATTATCCTGCTGGAAGAAGATGGGTTCACATGTTCAGCAGCAATACTCAGGTAGGCTGTCGCGTTTAAACAATGTTCAATTGGTACTAAGGGGCTCAAAGTGTACCAAGAAAATATCACCCACACCATTACACCACCACCAGCAGCCTGAACCGTTGATCCAAGGAAGGGTGGATCCATGCCTTCATGTTTTTACGCCAAATTCTGACCCTACCATCTGAATGTCACAGCTGAAATCTAGACTCATCAGACCTGGCAACGTTTTTCAAATAGTAGCCTCAGTTTTCTGTTCTTAACTGGCAGGAGTGGCACCCAATGTGGTCTTCTGCTGCTGTAGCCCATCTGGTTTAAGGTTTGATGTGTTGCACATTCAGAGATGGTATTCTACATACCTTGGTTGTAACGGGTGGTTATATGAGTTACTGTTGCCTTTCTGTCATCTCGAACCAGTCTGCCCATTCTCCTCTGACATCAACAAAGCATTTTCATCCACACAACTGCTCAATGGATATTTTCTCTTTTTCATACCATTTTCTGTAAACTCTACAAATGGTTGTGCTTGAAAATCCCAGTAGAGTTTCTGAAATACTCAGACCTGCCCGTCTGGCACCAACAACTGTGCCACATTAAATGTCACTTAAATCCCCTGGGTGCTATTCTAAAGTCGAGGAGCAAATTTAAACAACTTATCCTCTTTCGACATGATAGTGTTCCCATGCACAAAGCCAGATCCATGAAGAAATGGTTTTCCAAGTTTGGTGTGGAAGAACTGACCTGCACAGAGCCCTGATCATATTCCCTTTGGGATGAACTGGGAGCCAGACCTTATCACCCTCACCAATGCTCTTGTGGCTGATTGGGAAAAATGGTGGAAATTCTGAAACCAGAAGGCGGTTACAGCAGTTCGTTAATGCCAATGTATCTGGAATCAAAAGTTTAATTATTACACACAGTTTCCCCATACTGCTGTGTGCTCTGTATGTAATTAATTAATTAAAGGTGTTAGGGTACATACACACTGCACAGAGGGCAGTAAAGTTAGAAATGGAGGTAGGTGGTCAACAGAGGACACACTGACGGACACACTGACTGTCGGCTGTTAGTTTGTTGCATAAACTTAGTAGGAGGTAAATATAGTAACAGATATTGGATCCGCTTTTCCACGTAGGCTGTAGTTTAAGTCATAGGTCAGAGACACCTCCTGCCATTTTCAGCAACAGCAAAGATCCTCTCCAGAATCTGCAGGGACTCCACGGCCGAGTCGAGAGAATCAAAACAACGACACAAGACAAAACCACAAGGTAAAAACCTATAGTGATTGTCATTATATATAATTATATTTTGGCAAGAAAACTGGAAATGGTCTGTTTGACAGTAGAGATTGATAGGAAACACGGGGAGAGAGCAAGATAGATGACATGGAGCTAAGATCCTATGTTGGATTTAAAACAGGGATGTTGCTGTTATAAACAATAAGAGTGCTTAATAAATTATTTTAAAATGCTTTTTAAAGTTCTGCACTGATTTGAGACTTTGCGGGATGCTATTCTAGTCAAGATTCAACTTCAGACAGTGTCCTTGTGGAAAGCCAGGTCCATAAAGAATGGTCTTTGGTGTGGAAGGACTTGACTGGTCTGCACAGAGCCCTGACCTCAATGAACTGGAGCGCCATAGGAGCCAGACCTTATAACCCATCATCAGTGTTGGATCTGACTAATGCTCTAGTGGCTGAATGGGAGCAGATGGGCCCATGGATTTGGAATGACAAATGATCTATTACACACAGTTTCAGTGTCTACATACTTATGCGATGTAGTGTCCATGATGTAACACTGACTTGCATATCAGACACAAGTTCATTGAAATAAATCTTAAAATTTTCCCTTTTTCAACAGGGCCCAGGACCCCTTATGTGGATATCATGGAGCTTCAGCAATATGGGATAGAGGGTGTGGATGATGAAGATGAATTTGATGCAGCTACACAGTACATGATTGAGCAGAGTCTGCTGGAGCACAACAAATGGAAGGAAGAAGGCAGGAGGTCGGTGTAATTGAAACAAAGATTAAAAATATTTCCCTCAGATGTTTAGTTTGATCAAAGTTCTGCTTGTTCCTTTGCTGTCTTCTCCATTGCTGTATTTGCAATACTGTAATTATTTCTTCTTAGTTGTTTATTAAAGTATATGATCCGAAAGTTTCTGAGACTTTCTTCTACTAAGCAAAAGAACTACATTTTGTCAACTCTGTGAAGCCCCCATGCTGACAAAAAGCATTAAACATTATCAGACATGTAAAAAATATAACTGATTCAAAAAATAAATAATAATGTTAGTTAAATAATTAAAATACAGTGTTAAAAGATAGCTTTATACATAACCTCTTAATTAGTTGGTAAAGAATAGTAAAGCCTTTTGTTTCACCACCAGTCCAATTAATCCATTTTGTCAGTTTAGGGGCTCCACACAAATCTATCTTTGATTTCTATGTCAGTTTACTGTTGGTTTACAGGATCTTGACTAACTGGGTGGAAAAATCAAGACTGCTAGTTAAGTTACAGGGAGAGTAAGTGATTCTGTAGGATTTTGATATTTGACCTTAATTGCCAAACAAATACACCCCTCCCCTCAGTGCTCCCTCAGAAGCTCCACCAACCTAAATTTCAAATCCCCTTTCTTTTCTGTTTATACTCTTCAGACCTTTTCCTCTTTGGCTGCCCCAACTTTGTTTCAACACTGGAGTGGACACTTATTAAATGCAGGGTGTGGGGGTCTTGAGACTTAATTTCCTGTATTCTGGTGTTACATTTTACACAAATTGCTGCCTTTTCTGCATCAATTTTTGGTGATCTTTATTTATGTAAAGGGAAACACAAAATTCGGGCAGCACGCAACACTTCAAAATATGAAAATAGAAGGTTCTTGGGCATTCTACATTGCTTTTAAATATGTTTTCTCCTGTAGATCCACAGAACAAAGTTTCACCTCAGTTTTTAGATGTTTATATAACAAAACTCTACCAGCTATGTTGCCACTCTGTCACAAACTGGCTGCGACTCAGTGCAAGGTGGGTCCACTATGACAGCGTTACACCGGTGTTGCATCAGCCGGGCGGCGTTAATTTGCGCAGAGTCAAAAACTTTCTCTTGTGACCCTCCCCCCAACATCTGACCGCCTCTATCGCCTACAGTGGGTACGGAAAGTATTCAGACCCCTTTAAATTTTTCACTCTTTGTTTCATTGCAGCCATTTTCCAAAAATCAAAAAAGTTCATTTTATTTCTCAGTAATGTACACTCAGCACCCCATCTTGACAGAAAAAAACAGAAATGTAGAAATTTTTGCAAATTTATTAAAAAAGAAAAACTGAAATATGGTCATAAGTATTCAGACCCTTTGCCGTGACACTCATATTTAACTCAGGTGCTGTCTATTTCTTCTGATCATCCTTGAGATGGTTCTACACCTTCATTTGAGTCCAGCTGTGTTTGATTATACTGATTGGACTTGATTAGGAAAGCCACACACCTGTCTATATAAGACCTTACAGCTCACAGTGCATGTCAGAGCAAATGAGAATCATGAGGTCAAAGGAACTGCCTGAAGAGCTCAGAGACAGAATTGTGGCAAGGCACAGATCTGGCCAAAGTTACAAAAAAATTTCTGCTGCACTTAAGGTTCCTAAGAGCACAGTGGCCTCCATAATCCTCAAATGGAAGACGTTTGGGACGACCAGAACCCTTCCTAGAGCTGGCCGTCCGGCCAAACTGAGCTATCGGGGGAGAAGAGCCTTGGTGAGAGAGGTAAAGAAGAACCCAAAGGTCACTGTGGCTGAGCTCCAGAGATGCAGTCGGGAGATGGGAGAAAGTTGTAGTAAGTCAACCATCACTGCAGCAATCCACCAGTCGGGGCTTTATGGCAGAGTGGCCCGACGGAAGCCTCTCCTCAGTGCAAGACACATGAAAGCCCGCATGGAGTTTGCTAAAAAAACACCTGAAGGACTCCAAGATGGTGATAAATAAGATCCTCTGGTCTGATGAGACCAAGATAGAACTTTTTGGCCTGAATTCTAAGCGGTATGTGTGGAGAAAACCAGGCACTGCTCATCACCTGTCCAATACAGTCTCAACAGTGAAGCATGGTGGTGGCAGCATCATGCTGTGGGGGTGTTTTTCAGCTGCAGGGACAGGACGACTAGTTGCAATCGAGGGAAAGATGAATGCGGCCAAGTACAGGGATATCCTGGACGAAAACCTTTTCCAGAGTGCTCTGGACCTCAGACTGGGCCGAAGGTTTACCTTCCAACAAGACAATGACCCTAAGCACACCGCTAAAATAACGAAGGAGTGGCTTCACAACAACTCCGTGGCTGTTCTTGAATGGCCCAGCCAGAGCCCTGACTTAAACCCAATTGAGCATCTCTGGAGAGACCTGAAAATGGCTGTCCACCAACGTTTACCATCCAACCTGACAGAACTGGAGAGGATCTGCAAGGAGGAATGGCAGAGGATACCCAAATCCAGATGTGAAAAACTTGTTGCATCTTTCCCAAAACGAATCATGGCTGTATTAGATCAAAAGGGTGCTTCTACTAAATACTGAGCAAAGGGTCTGAATACTTATGACCATGTGATATTTCAGTTTTTCTTTTTTAATAAATTTGCAAAAATTTCTACATTTCTGTTTTTTTCTGTCAAGATGGGGTGCTGAGTGTACATTACTGAGAAATAAAATGAACTTTTTTGATTTTTGGAAAATGACTGCAATGAAACAAAGAGTGAAAAATTTAAAGGGGTCTGAATACTTTCCGTACCCACTGTATGTCACGAGCCGGCCATGGTGCATAGAGTCCAGCATGTTTGAATGTGCTGGTGTATAGAACGTGCACAAGCACTAACACCACCTATTGATGATTGGCTGGATGTTGTGTGGCAAGTTCCACACCACTTTCTAGACAGATTTTTTTCAGAGCACACACAAAAACCATGAGGAAATACACACTGAATTTAACAAAAAAAGTGTATTGGATTACAGTTACTTACTATCTCTTTAATCTGAAATCTGGAATTTTAAATACAAATTTGGTGGAAGAACCTACCAGATTTCAGAAGTAAGTAATACTTTAAACTGTCTTCTAAAAGAGAGTGGGACGTTCAGCCTTGACAAATGTTGGTCTCAAGAGGCTCGATATGTTAACTTTTTGCATCAGTATTATTCCCAGCAGGTGAAGCTATCATCAGATTGGATTAGTTTTCCTGTGTAGTTAAACAGAATTTTGTTTTACTTTGTGTTTGATATGTTTAACATAGTTAGCGATCTTCTTTCCTCACAGCTCTTGGCCTGACTTTGCAGACAGCAGCTCGATCTTCACTGCTATAAGACAAGGTGAGGGGGGGTACAAGGCTTGTAACAAGGTGACGGCTTTTGTTGTGATTTACTATAAATGAATGCAAATTAAACCATCAGGTAACTGAAATAAAATTGCAGTTGCTACAGCATATATATCTGCTCTTTAAATCACATTAAACAGCATGTAAACATACCTGCAAATGTCACTTAGGTCCAGTTAGATGCTGATGTGGTGGGTACTGACTCTTCAATATCACTAACAACACGCTGTCTGCCCATGAGTTCACAGCACAAACCTATCTGGAGGGGGTAAATATAGTAACTTGGGTAAATAAAGTATCAGATCCCCTGTTCCTCCAGTCAGAGTGCTGTAGCTAAACATGGAAACATGGAGGTCTGGGGCCTCCTGAACCTCCACTTTTTGATCCCTCAGAATTATTATTATTACTCTATTCCAAGACAGATGGGTCAATCTTGTGTGCGGATCATATGTGTAATGCAGGCAGGCAGCCTCCGCAGTTTAAACACAAATTAACACATCAGTTCATTTGTCACCACTCTGGCTGTGACTCCAGCTTTTCCCTGTGTTTTTCCTGCCCCCTCCTCTCCTCCTGTACATGTGTGTATGTGTTGTTGGAGTGAGGCTTACCTCTCCTGGCACCTGGCTCCCTGGAACCCCATAGCTGGGGGTTCTAGTTTTTAGTGGACTGAGAGGGTTTTGGTCCTGAGGAGCGATCGTGGATCCCTTGCTGGTTCATTCTGGAGCATTTTGATAAGCCTGGTTTGGGCGTCTGGAGGCACCCACTGAGCAAGGGAGCTCCTCAACTCCATCGTTCCCTGTGTTTTTTCTTTGATTTCCCTGTCACCTCCTCCCGTGTTTATGTGTTGTGGGCGCGGCTCACCTCTCCTGGCATCTTGTTCATCTCCACACCAGGCTTTAGTCAGCTCATCAACCCTCGGCTCAAATACCTCACGTCTCCTGCCACTCATCACCAGACTGTTCCATCTACTCTGTGCTACAGTGACTCTTGGCTGATTTGCATTCAGAGAACCTTCTAGTGTGTTTTTATGATTCTCCTTCGTGCTTTTTGCTAATGTGGTTTTTCTCGTGTACCTCAGGATTCCTGTTACAGCATCTCAATCCAGCCATTCACCACCACCTGCAGCCTCAGCTCAATCCCCAGCCATACTCAACCCTCCTCAGCCTGCCTGCCTCTTGCCTTTGTCAGCCCAGCAACCCCTTTCATCCATTCATTGTTGTTCATTAAAAACTTTTACTTATACCTCTCCCTCCATTGTTTGTGTCTGCTTCTGGGTCTTCTTAATCAAACCAGAACAGAATACCCAGCAGAAAGCAACAGAGTCCAGCAGATGAGCTTTAGCCTCTCAAGGTGTTCTGGTTGGACAACATAGACACCCTGTGAACCCCAACCACCAGTATTGCTCAACTCGGCTGCCATATTAATCAAATCACCACTCACCTGTCCATCTCCTCTGCCATGGCTGGGAGTGTTTCACCCGCTGCGTTCCAGCCATAGTCCCCCTCACCATGTCCGGTACAGCATTACTCCGGAGATCTGGGAATCTGAGGTCTTATTAAACTTATTGGTTTATTTACTAGTAAAGCATCTCAGTGGGCTACTACTTTGTCGGAGGAGGGGTCATTGATTTGTAGTTCTTTTTTAACATTTATAGCTGAGATGAGAAACATTTTTGTCCATCCTGTTCATGGAAAGAAAGCGTTCCAACAGATTTCTCTCCCTTCGCCAGCGTTCTAGTTCAGTCACAGAATACTCTGTGGAGCTGAGACTTTGGGCATCAGAGAGTGGGTGGGAATTAAGTCGCTCTACAGGGAGTTTTGATTTGTGGGCTTTCTGATAAAGTAAATGATATGATGAGTTAGTGGCTAGGGATGAGACAAATAGCTTAGATTCCCTAATTTTCCTGTGTATTTGGTTCGATAACCAACTACGTAAACGATCTAGGGAGAAGTCTGGGCTGTCAGATCCTAACTTCAGAGGCCAACTTCCACTATAGAACATTTGAAAATCTTCCTGCAAAGGCCAGACCTACCCAGAACTGGAAGATCATGATTGGCTGGAGAAGTTGCACTTCATGGTGGACATGAGAAGTCACCTCAACACACTGAACAAAAGTCTCCAGGGAAAGGGACAGTCCAGCAGCTGTCGGAAGTTGTTTTAGTGTTTGAGTGCAAGTTGGTGTGAGATGTACAGAGAGGCATGCTTTTGCACTTCCCCTCTCTGAGAAAGTTCAGAGAAGAAAACAATTACATCAACAATTATTTACAGTGTCTGATCATCAGAATGCTACTATCATTCCCTGTTACACCTCTGGACATTGACCCATCCCTGTCTTCATTCACAGGAGTAAGTCTACCCGAACTTGAAATAAATAGAACTGGCCGACAATGACAAATGTGTATCTAAGTTCAAAATCCTGACATCTGAGCTCGAAGATGTTGCCTGTCAGAAGGCTATTCTCAATCAAAACCACAAACGAAGCGATACTGAAAAACTCCCGAAACCCGCCAAACTTTTGTTTGAAACATGGAAAGTTATTGCAGACAACAATGTCAATATGAAGACGCATTTGGAGTCCTGTCCCATTTCGGATCAACGTACTTGCAACGTATGTGCTAGCCAGTTTTCTCAAGCATGAACTACATAAAGTCAAAATATCGTTAGATATTAGTCCACCTCAGATGAGAGCCTTCAGTCGTGTCAAGATCAAATTGTTACATCTTATAGCCCTGGTATCAAGAATATCTGCACTGATGTTTAGAAACAGAAATCCCATTAAACTGGTGAGAACAGCATTTTTTATTAGGTTATTATTGTGCAACACATTACCTCTTTTAGCAAGTTTTAATTTTCTCTATAAATTAATTGATCATTGTGTTTTGTGCACACTGGGCTATTCATTTATTTTCCATAAACACTGAGGTCTCAAACTAGCCCTAAAAAAATATCAATAGCTACTCAGTTTCTAAGTTCTAATTTTTCCCCACAAATCAGTTTTGTTGGAAATGGCATCCCCAGTAAAAAGAACTAGTTTCAACTGTTTTCTTTATTGTAGTACTTTTATACTGTCATAAATCCACTAAAACAATTTTTGGAAATGCAAAGTTGAAGTAGCCAAATAATCATAAATAACATACAGGCCTATTGCAGCCACCTTGTGGTAAAACATATGAATGAATGGTCATTTAGACCTGTTAGAAATGTCGATACCCTAATGTACAGTAATAGGTTGTGGTTCATGCATTTAAAGGGCTAAAATATTGTTTTGCAAATTTTTTTTTCTTTCTCTGGCCAAAAGTGGCTCTGTAGATAGTAAAGGTTGCCAACCCCTGCACCAGTCTGTCCCTCAGCTCCACTTCCCAAACCTCGTGTCTCCTTCTGCCAAAAAGAGAAGGCTCAACAGTAACGGGGGAGTCCTGATGAGCCACACCTCAACCACACACTCTCGCTACTCAGTTAACTGAAACGCCGGCTCCTGAGTGTCCTGACCCCTCATTAGTTCCTTCCACTTACTGTGACTTAGCTGAGGTGTTTAGCAAGTAATAAGCTGTGTCTTTGCCTGCACATAGACCCCATGACTGTACACCACAACTGACTTCCTGGTTGTGGCCCTTAACCTCCAGTCAACTTTATAACCTCTCCCGTCCTGAAAGAGAGGCTATGAAGAAAAACATCCATGACTCCCTAGATTCTGGTCTAATCCGTCCCTCCTCGTCTCCTTGAACTATTTAAGCATAACTATGATGTGGAAAATCGTGAGCTGTTTACAGTGGTGTAAGTACTGGAGGAGTTGAACAACGTTTTGTAGTCTTGATGGACCACAAAAACCTACCTTTCTCCTGCCAATCTGATCCTGAGAAACCCAACTCAGAGCAAGAGACATTCTCTGTCCTCCCTGCCTGGTGGCTGCTGCTACGCGTGACACTGAGACCGGACCATTGCCTGGAAGGCTCAGCACACTCACCCTGACCCAGATACTGGACCTCCTAACCTACTGTTTGTGCCTGATCCTGTTAGGTCTCAGATTCGCCAGTGGGGAAATTCCTCCAAGCTTGCCTTTCTGAATTTCACACACCCTCCATCATTAGACAACACAATTTGCCGTTTTTCCAAGGCTTGTTCTCTCACTTAACTGCCCTCAGCAACCCACAGATGGATCTTCTGATTCTCCATGTATTCTGGTCCCGTGGTCTGACAGTTCCATCCATCCACCTGGCGCAAACAGTTGTCCTAAGGGAGTATGCTCATAATGATGGTGGCGATGGTACATTGGCTAAGACACATCGTGTAAGAGACCCGGGTTTGATTCCCACTGAGCAAGACACTTAACCCCTAGTTCATCCAGAGGCGTGCGACCTCTAACATATACAGGTGTTGGTCATATAATTAGAATATCATCAAAAAGTTGATTTATTTCAGTAATTCCATTCAAAAAGTGAAACTTGGATATTATATTCATTCATTACACACAGACTGATATATTTCACTGTTTATTTCATTTAATTGTGATGATTAAAACTGACAACTAATGAAAATCCCACATGCTGTAGCTCCGAAAATTTGAATATTACTTAAGACCAATACAAAAAAGGATTTTTAGAAATGTTGGCCAACTGAAAAGTATGAACATGAAAAGTATGAGCATGTACAGCACTCAATACTTAGTTGGGGCTCCTTTTGCCTGAATTACTGCAGCAATGTGGCATGGCATGGAGTCTATCAGTCTGTGGCACTGCTCAGGTGTTATGAGAGCCCAGGTTGCTCTGATAGTGGCCTTCAGCTCTTCTGCATTGTTGGGTCTGGCGTATCGCATCTTCCTCTTCACAATACCCCATAGATTTTCTATAGGGTTAAGGTCAGGCCAATTAAGAACAGGGATACCATGGTCCTTAAACCAGGTACTGGTAGCTTTGGCACTGTGTGCAGGTGCCAAGTCCTGTTGGAAAATGAAATCTGCATCGCCATAAAGTTGGTCAGCAGCAGGAAGCATGAAGTGTTCTAAAACTTCCTGGTAGACGGCTGCGTTGACCTTGGACCTCAGAAAACACAGTGGACCAACACCAGCAGATGACATGGCACCCCAAACCATCACTGACTGTGGAAACTTTACACTGGACTTCAAGCAACATGGATTCTCTGCCTCTCCTTTCTTCCTCCAGACTCTGGGACCTTGATTTCCAAAGGAAATGCAAAATTTACTTTCATCAGAGAACATAACTTTGGACCACTCAGCAGCAGTCCAGTCCTTTTTGTCTTTAGCCCAGGCGAGACGCTTCTGACGCTGTGTCTTGTTCAAGAGTGGCTTGACACAAGGAATGCAACAGCTGAAACCCATGTCTTGCATACGTCTGTGCGTGGTGGTTCTTGAAGCACTGACTCCAGCTGCAGTCCACTCTTTGTGAATCTCCCCCACATTTTTGAATGGGTTTTGTTTCACAATCCTCTCCAAGGTACGGTTATCCCTATTGCTTGTACACTTTTTTCTACCACATCTTTTCCTTCCCTTTGCCTCTCTTTTAATGTGCTTGGACACAGAGCTCTGTGAACAGCCAGCCTCTTTAGCAATGACCTTTTGTGTCTTGCCCTCCTTGTGCAAGGTGTCAATGGTCGTCTTTTGGACAGCTGTCAAGTCAGCAGTCTTCCCCATGATTGTGTAGCCTACAGAACTAGACTGATACCATTTCAAGGCCTTTGCAGGTGTTTTGAGTTAATTAGCTGATTAGAGTGTGGCACCAGGCGTCTTCAATATTGAACCTTTTCACAATATTCAAATTTTCTGAGATACTGATTTTGGGGTTTTCATTAGTTGTCAGTTATAATCATCAAAATTAAAAGGAATGAACACTTGAAATATATCAGTCTGTGTGGAATGAATGTATACATTATACAGGTTTCACTTTTTGAATGGAATTACTGAAATAAATCAACTTTTTGATGATATTCGAATTATATGACCAGCACCTGTATAGCAATTGTCGCTTTGGACAAAAGTGTCAGCTAAAATGAGTAAATGTAAATGTAACTCTCTCACCAGCACTGACACCTTTCATGGATTTTCTGGGTTGTCAACCTTATCCCAGTCCTGGACAGCGAGGTGGCGGTACCTACCATTTAAGGTCGGTGTAACCAGGTTTGAAGGGAGGCCCGGTCCGCTCTCATCAGCTCACCAGCTCGAAGCCAACGCTGACCACTCTCAGTTAGAAGGTGTGGCTTTCCTCTTGTGACCTCCCGTAACATGCCTCTCCAGGTGGAATGCCATAAGTTGGCACACCGTTTATGTTAGGCCATTTGAAAATGACAAAGTCATTAAGTAATTCCGTAATTAAGTTGCCTGCTTCTATGAAAATTCATCCTAACCTCCATGTTTCACTGCTCATGCCTGTCTCTGCTGCTCCCGGATCATTGACAACTATGCTGACTTCGGATTCTGGACGGCAGGTTGTCCCAGTTTTTATTGGACTGTGAGGGTTATGGTCCTGAGGAGCAATTGTGGATCCCTTGCTGGTACATTCTGGATGCCACCCTCATTCTGGAGCATCCCGACAAGCCTGGTAGGGCACCTGGAGCCACCCATTGAGAGAGGGGGGTCCTCAACTCCAGCTTTCCCTGTTTTTTCCTGTGTTTTCTCTGTCCCCTCCTCCCGTGTATGTGTTGTGGGCGTGGCTTACCTCCCCTTGCTCATCTCCACACCTGGCTTCAATAAGCTCATCAACCCTCAGCACAAATACTCCGTGTCTCCTGCCACTCATCGCCAGTTTGTTCTGTCTATTCTTTGGGACAGTGACTCTTGGCTGATATGCCATCAGAGAACTTTTCAGTCTGTTTTTGTTATTTTTATTTGTTTATTTTGTTTCCCTCGTGCTTTTTGCTAATGTGTTTTTTCTCCTGTGCCTCAGGATTCCTGTTCCACTGTCTCAGTCCAGCCATTCACCACCACCACCACCAGCTGCCTTAGCTCAGTCACTAGCCATACTCTACCCTCACCAGCCTGCCAACGTCCTACCTTTGTCAGCCCAGCCCTTCTTCCATTCATTATTTGTTCATTAAAATCTTTTACATGCACCTCTCCGTCCACGTCTGTGTCCGTTTCTGGATCTGCTTGAAAACCAAACCTTACATCAGTGATAGAACCTATGTAAACATATAGCAGCAACAGGTTTCAACTCACACATTTGGTGTATAGCACACAGAGAAAGACACATGGCAATTGTTTTCAAAACACTTTGCATTTTAAGGTTACTTTATTGTTTTGGATTACGGTAATTGCTACATCAACACCAAACATCACAAAGCCAATGACTTGACAGGATACATCTCAAAGAACATGCACCTTAAACTTGATTTATATTTCTGCGTAGGGCCTACGTGCATAGCTACGCCGTAGGCTACGCACGTAGCCAGGCATTTATACTTGTGTGTAGGTGTCTCCGTCATTCTGCAACTACACTTCCAAACGCTAGTCGGCAGTAGCGCTACATCGTCCACTGTGTTGACTTTGGCCGACCAAGCAGGCTAACTTCCAGTTTAGCCCTCCGCTAACGTGAATGGGGGTAAAATTGTATACATGCAGCTGTTACTTTTTTGTAACTTTTACAATGTTATCGACAGAATGGATCACATTCTGATAGTGAAATGAGTTATTTCAGTCAAAATATACTGATCCACCGTGTTACAGACGCCATTTTGGCTGCTAGTAAAAGTTACCACAAAGTGTGGGACACTTCCTGTCGTCTCTGAGACATTGCAAAGCTACACAGGCAACCAATCACAGTGCTCATGGTCTCCGTTGACTCAACGTGTAGTTACATTTTTGAGGAGGTGCATGTCAGGCGACGGCGTAGCCTCGGCATAGCCCCGTAGCCTACGCAGTCACCTACGCCGTAAATTTGACACAGAAGTATAAATTACACTTATTACATAAATTACAATCAAACAAACACTCAACACCACAATGTCTATCCACCAGGCCCATCAATCAGTTTAACTGACAGAGACAAATGGACAATTGTACTTATGTAAGGGGACAGTGTATCTCCATTCTTTTGCTGTTCCTTTCATCCATCCCTCCAGGTAACGAGAAGCTCTTGAAGGATCTGTGTGTCCAACAGAGAAACACATTTTCACAGACAGACAGCAGAGGTTGGACCCCTCTCCATGAAGCAGCAGCTCAGAGCAACCAAACCATCCTTAAGCTCATATTCAGAGGTTTGTTCTCACTTTAAACAGATTCTGTGCAGCTTCACAATAACATAAAACTCCTTTAATGAAGCAGAGATGTGATGAATGTTGAAGGGGCTAATCAAATTGATTAAGGCAGTATCCTGTTCTCCAGTTTCAGGCCAACACTCTGTGAAGAGTTGTACTCTTTGTGGTAAGACTCCACTCTTCCTGGCAGTTGAACGAGGTCTGATAGAAAACGCCTCCTTCCTCCTCCAACATGGAGCTCAACCGGACAGCCACGACCATGACCAGGACACACCACTTGTCATAGGTAGGCTGAACACCGACCAGCAGTTCACTGCCTCAAAGCCAGTTAAGCGATTGTGGCTAAAAACCTGTGAATATTTACCCCAATCTGATTGATAACGGTATTTTGCTGTGATTTAATTGCAATAAATGGATCAAAATTATGCCGATGGCTACAATTATGGCAGTGGAGGTTGGAAACTCTGCGGCTAGCTGCTGCAGATAGATTGAAAAGTGTGAGTGACTTTTTAATCCCCAAAATTAAAATTAAAAAGTTGTTTTAATAAAATAAATTCACCCTGAGCTCCAGAGCAGAATCCGGAGCAACTCCAGTGCTTAATTTGTCCAGAAACTATTGTGTAGTAGTTTTCAGTCGGCGAGCAGAGGCTCTGTCCCTCCTCTCTACCGGTGTTATGCTGAATTTTGCATGACTGCCAATAATTGCATGCACCTCCAAGTGCTGCTTTTAAATGCTGTAAATTTTTTTGTGGGGTTCATCAACGGTGATAAATGTGTACATTTTATGAACGTTTAGAGTTGTTAATATTTTATTGAAGCGTGAATCTTCCAGTCAGAGATCTGATGCGAATGAGGGTCCATTAAACCTGAAACGGCCAGCAGGGGGCGACTCTTCTGGTTGCAAAAAGGAAGTGCAGTTCCATTAGAAATAATACAATAATGACCCTACTTCTCAGAATCAGAATCAGAATCAGCTTTATTGCCAGGTATGTGTACACATACAAGAAATTTGACTCTGGATTGTACATTGCTCACAATGTGCTTACTCAGACAAAAATACAAAATCACTATAATAAAAATAAAATAAAATCAGACAAAAACAATATAGACATATTGACAAATATTGACAATATAACAGTATGAACAGCACTGAAATAGAGAATGGTGAGTAAATAATAAGTGTTAGCCAGTAAACAGGTGGCTGATTAGAGACAGAGTTACTGGGTTATTGCACAGGAATTGTTCCTGACACTGTGAGTCAGAAATCAGCTTTTCATCAGAGTGATGGCTTGTGGGAAGAAACTGTTCCTAAGTCTGTTGGTTTTAGTGTACAGAGCTCTGTAGCGCCTACCAGAGGGGAGAAGCTGGAACAGATTGTGTCTGGGGTGAGATGGATCTGCAGTGATGTTTCCTGCCCGTTTCTTGACTCTGGAAATGTATAAGTCCTGAATGGAGGGCAGGTTGGCAACGATGATCTTTTCTGCAGTCCTGACTGTCCGTTGTAGTCTGTCCCTGTCCTTTTTGGTGGCAGATCCAAACCAGACAGTGATGGACGTGCAGAAGACAAACTGGATGATAGCTGTGTAAAAGTGGATCCACAGGTCCTTAGGCAGATTGAGCTTCCTGAGCTGGCGCGATGATGGTGTCCGCGTTGGGCTCCCACTTCAGGTCCTGGGAAATAGAGGATCCCAGAAAAAGAGTTCGTGGCTGAGGTTTGTTCTGTTGAAGTCTCCAAGAACAATTAGCAGGGAGTCTGGATGTTTTTTCTCCACATTAGTTATCTGGTCAGCCAGGTGTAGTAACGCCTCACTAACACAGGCCTGAGGTGGAATGTAAACAGCAACCAGGACAAATGAAGAAAACTCCCGCGGTAAATAAAAAGGTTTACAGTTTATAAATAATGTCTCTAAGCGAGGCTGCATGATTTTTCCAACACTGTGACATCTGTGCAGCAACCTTCGTTTATATAGAGAACAGAGTCTGCCTCCCCTTGTTTTTCCCGTGAGCTCCCTTTCAGGATCCGCGCGGATGAGATTGGCAACGATGATCTTTTCTGCAGTCCTGACTGTCCGTTGTAGTCTGTCCCTGTCCTTTTTGGTGGCAGATCCAAACCAGACAGTGATGGACGTGCAGGTAGCCCTGTAGGTAAACTGCAGGGGGTCCAGCAATGGGCCTGTAATGTCCTTCAGGAGGGCCAACACCAGTCTTTCAAAGGACTTCATGACTACATTTAGTCCAGAGATGGAGGGTTTTTTGGGGACTGGGATGATTGTAGAGCGTTTGAAGCAGAAGGGAACTTCACACAGCTCCAGTGATCTGTTGAAGATCTGTGTGAAGATGGGGGCCAGCTGGTTTGCACAGATTTTCAGGCAGGATGGAGACACACCGTCGGGGCCAGGAGCCTTCCTGATCTTCTGCCTTTGGAAGAGGTGGCTCACGTGAACCAGAGGCTGCACGGGGAACAGAGCGATAGGCATCCTTTAATGTAGTGTAGCAGTGGTCCAGTGTGTTAGTGTCCCTGGTGGGACACTTAATATGCTGTCTGTACTTTGGGAGTTTGTGGCTGAGGTTTGTTCTGTTGACGTCTCCAAGAACAATGAGCAGGGAGTCTGGATGTTTTTTCTCCACATTAGTTATCTGGTCAGCCAGTTGTAGTAACGCCTCACTAACACAGGCCTGAGGTGGAATGTAAACAGCAACCAGGACAAATGAAGAAAACTCCCGCGGTAAATAAAAAGGTTTACAGTTTATAAATAATGTCTCTAAGCGAGGCTGCATGATTTTTCCAACACTGTGACATCTGTGCAGCAACCTTCGTTTATATAGAAACAGAGTCTGCCTCCCCTTGTTTTTCCCGTGAGCTCCCTTTCAGGATCCGCGCGGATGAGATTAAATCCCTGTAGGTGAAGTGCGCTGTCCGGGATGTGCTCGGTGAGCCAGGATTCGGTGAAACAGAGGGCGGCAGATCTGCAGAAGTCCGAGTTAGTTCTGTTGAGGAGAAGCAGTTTGTCCATTTTGTTGGCCAGAGAGCAGACATTCGCCGGGTGAATTGAAGAGAGCGCAGTGCAAAAACCCCACTGTCTAATTTAACCGGCACGCCTGCTCGTTTTCCCCTGCGCCATTTCCGAAGGATCCCAAACAGACCTGCTGCTCCTCCAACTAATAACTCTGGGAAAGTTCCGGGTTCGTTAAGGAGCGGTGGAATAATATGAGCAGTTGAAAGTCCAATATTTAAGAGCTCTTCTCTGGTAAATGTTACCAGAGAGGGACGGCAGAAAACAGCGTTACAGTCTATGATTTTATTACACTAAGTAACGTTATTCCTTGAGATTCAGCAAAAATATGTGGTAATAACCGCAGTTGATAAATGTGCACAGCAAAGTGTCTGAAAAGTATGGAAGCCCTAAGTGACCATCCATCCCGCAATAATTGGATAACAAACCATAGTTGAATACAGGGATTGGCATGTGTGTTTCTTCAGAATAATTTAAGAAAAAAAATATTTTTTCACTGGGTAGCTCATTTGGTAGAACATAGGACTCGTAATTACATGTTCAATCCCCATTTTCGATTTTTTTTTTCTTCTTTTGTGTGTTTTTATTATCCTCCTCAACAAAGTTCTTATGAAGAGATTCAGGGGAATCCAATCACACATTTCCCGATGGCTATTTCAAAGGTTCTGAAATAGCTGTCAGGAAATTTGTGATTGGCTTCCGCTGAATGAGAAGCACAGGAATTTTCTCTGGGAATGATGGGGAAAGGAAAAGTTCATAGGTTGATGGATGTGGACCAATCACAGTCCAGCACATGGTTCATTGTGAACATGTGAAACAGTCTCTTCGAAAGAACTTTGTTGAAGAGGATTATAAAACAGATAAAAAAAAGAAGAAAAAATTGGTCTTAAGTGAGGATCGCACATGCAACCCCTAGCCTGGAAATCCTGTGCTCTACCAACTGAGCTAACCACTGACACTGAAAGCCATTCTGAAATTATCATTAAGAAACGCTCCTTCCAATGGGTGTTAAACTACTGTTTTGTTATCTCGAGATCACGAAAAAATTATGCTGTTATCACGAGGAAACGAAGTAAAAAAATATTTCAATGGATGGCCGCTTAGGGCTTCTGTAGAGAAGGACCTTAAGAGGTGGATGCATAATTCATCAGAACAGATGATGTAGGCTACCTGCCGAGATTTGCATCCACATCTTTTCTCAGCATAAATGCAGTTCAGACACAACACCGATCCTCTCCACACAAGCCTCATTCGCGCCACCTGGTGTGAATTGCATCTGTTCGCGTCTTTGCATGGACTTTGTATTCAGTCGTGCCGTGGGCTTTGCATTCGGTGTGAACACAGGTCAAGCTGTGATGTGGGCTACACCTTTTTATTCCTTCTCTGAGTTCATCAGTTAAAATCTAAAAGTTTGACTCCTGCAGCAATCCGTTCAGACCGAACTGACCTGGTGAAGCTGCTGCTCCACTATGGCTCCTGGGTGAACCAGAAGGGCCGCTACGGTCGCTGTCCCCTCCACGAGGCCTCAGAGCTGGGCAAATCAGCTCTGGTGACTCTGCTGCTGAAGGCTGGAGCACAGCCAGACCCTCGCAGCAACTTCGGCCTCACGCCGCTGGCACTGGCCGCTCAGGGAGGACACCTGGAGGTGATGGAGATTCTACTGAGTAGAGGTGAGAGGGCACGGATGTCTCTACACGTTAAGGTAGAGGTGATCCAACTAAAAATGAAATCATAAAAACGTGAATTAAATTAGTATTCTGAAATCCGCCTTAACACATTAATGGAGGTCTAATAAAAAAAATAGAAATGCTGTATTTTTGATAAACTAACTCACTTAATAATGACATCAATAAAGACGTCATCTTTATGATGGATACTCATTGCATTTGAAACTGGTGGTTTCTTTTACTTCTTTATCTTTGATTTGATGTTCAATTTTTAGCATTTGACAAGATGCCAATATTTTTTCAAGGAGTATTTATCTTCAGGTGAAGTCAGACCGGTGGCAAAGAGCAGGCGAGACAGAAGATAGTATTGACTTAAGGCTGTCATTTATACAGCTTCTTCTAAAACACTTTCTTTGCTTTATTATTTCGCCTGCAGTTCTACAGTGATGGAAAGTACATCAAGTGTTGCACTTAAGTACAATTTAAGAACTTTACTTGTATATTTAAATGTTTTGCTACTTTATACTTTGTACCATTACATTTATTTGATGGTTAAAGTTACTATTTCCTTTGCAGATTAGAGAATCTGTCTCCTAAATAAATTCAGCTAATATGAGGCTTCAACAGTCTTATCAAGTGGGTATTTTTCTAATCTTTTTTTGTACAAAATTCCATGTTTGTCCTGCAGGTGCGGACATCCTGTCCGAGGCAAAGGATAAGGCATCCATCTTGTACGAGGCGACTTTGTCTGAAAATCCATCTGTTATCCGTCTATTGCTGGAATATGGCGCCGATGCTAACGTCGGCACAAACACAAAACATATGCCGATCCACAGTGTTGCACACCAAGGCAACCTGGAGTAAATGTTAAAGCAAAAATATTCATATTTATTTATATTTTAAAATATAACATCAGATAAAGTGTGTGTGTGTGTGTGTGTGTGTGTGTGTGTGTGTGTGTGTGTGTGTGTGTGTGTGCGTGCGTGTGTTCCCTTAGAGCTCTGAAGTTGCTGATTCCAGTCACTTCTATCGAAGAAGTAAATAACAGCGGGATAAGTCCTCTACACTCTGCTGCTGCAGGAGGACACCCACACTGCATCAAGGTGTGTGCATAAGAGCCTGACCAATAAAACAGCGTCAAGATATTATCAGCTAACCAGAGATAATTACAGATAAATTGGTATCTGTCTTATAACAGCCGATAAATGACAATAAAAAAATAAATGGAGAGACGGATCCTTCAATGATATTACAAGTGTTGTTGTTGCATAGTTTGTCCATCTGAGGGGACTCTGCAACACCCCTGTTGGCAACACAAGTGTTTCAAAAGTCACAAATCCACTGCAAAACACAGCAATCAGCCATGACTACATAAATGCAGGTATTTTTCAGGATTGGTTGGTCAGTGCTGAGGATTCTTTTTACTATGAATTAATCAGCTGATTCTTTCTCCGTTATTGTTGTTTTGTCTAGAAAATGGCATAAAATATTGAAAAATACTTTATACTGTAATGCGTTATACTGTAATTTCCCACAGCCTAAGGAGATGACATTTACACAACCAGCAAATGTTTGCCTGAAAATTACAAAAGTAGATAATTAATCAATGTTCAATTTTTTTCTTTTGCATTTTGATTTCTTAGAAAATACTTCTGATTGGCTGACAGCTGTCTGTTAAACACACAACAGATCAACAACAACTGAATGTCTCTCCTGCCCAACTCCCATCAGGCCTTGCTGGATGCAGGTTATGATCCCAACTACATGCTCCATCCCTGGGTGCAACGAGGCTATGACGACGAGAGGAAGTCTGTGCTCTTCTTCGCAGTCTCCAATAATGACGTGCCATCAGCCAAACTGCTGCTGGAGGGCGGGGCCATGGCCAACCAAGACCCAATCAAATGTCTTCAGGCATGTGTGTGTTTGTGTGTTACAGCGTCAACACATTGTCATGACTGAAAGCAGACTTCTGGGGGAGAGTCCCTTTTAAAGGAGGAAGGAAAAGGAACTTCTTTTTTGTACACGTTAGCTAACCTTCCATGAGCCAAAGAGTTTATTGTTAAGATGATTTTACTGGTGAAATTATTTTCTTCATGTGCCAAAGTTAAAACGAGAAAGAAAAATCCTCAAACTTAAAGGGGCCATGTGTAGTTTTCAGTGGCCTATAGTGATGTGGTTTCAGATTGCAACAGCTACATTCCCAAGCCTGTGATTCTGCGGAGGCTCGAACTCATGATGGAGAAGTCGGCGTCGCTGGTCAAACCAAAACAGGGACATACATAAGAGGCAGCATTACACATAATGCAGGAAACTTTACTACAATGCAAACAAAGCCCAATCAATGATAATGTAGCTGGCTGCCTTGCATCACTATGTGCTAGTATAAACAAACCGGTCCACATTTGCTTGGTACCATTATATCATTTCTTGCAGGCTAAAATCAACACTTAGACATATTACTGGTACACTGGATAGTAATAAGAATGCTTTACCCAGTGAAGTAGTGAGGCTAGCTTTACAAGCAGGCAAGCTTATCAAACTTGAGTCAAAAAATCTAAATTAATTTCAGATGCTTTGCAGAAATGTTAGTTTACCTGTCGAATAGGATGAAAGCCAACTCTGCCTTATTTTTTTATATCCAAAATTAAGACGTGACTCAAACACCATTCCGTGTCCCAGCATCGATCGGGTTCCCGTTTGGCCTGAAGGGCTTCAGCACATAGAACTTTATTGTTGTTTTTTATCCTGACATGGAGTTTGTGTTGGAGTCTATGTTGGGCTGGGAGCTGGTTGTTTTTGGTGTTAGTAGACCCCACTCTTGTTAGCTGCGGTGTTGTTGCTGTGTGTACAGTTCAGAACCAGTAGGCAAGAGATTGGGAGCAAACATGCAGAAAATCCGACCAGATTTTTTCACATAAAATGCATAATAGTGGCTGTTTAAAGTGACCAAGAAAGCAAGTGTGTGGTTTATTTTTTTGTGAGGTTACAACGTTCACAAATAGGCGGTGATTATTTAATGAGTGATTTCATTAAAAAACTACATATAGCCCCTTTAATACATAAAATAAGGGTTTAACAGTTTAGAAACACAAATTGCCTCAACTCATTTGTAAGATGAGCTGATGAATATAAATCTCATGTACAAGTACAAAGCTGGAGTCAGAATGTGGTTATCTTAGCTCAGCATAAAGACTGCAAGCAGGGGGAAATTGTTAACGTGACACTGTACAGTCCAAAACTACACCTACCAACACTTCTACAGCTAATCATAAAACAAATCATATCTCATTTGTGCTTTTACAGGGAGTTACATCCTGGAACTATACAAGGGTCATGCAGGGACTCTGTGTGGCTTTCTAAACTCTTGTCTCCACATTGAGGTTTCTATGTTTGGTACCATTGTGCACATATAGAAACCAAAAACAAAGCCTGTGCTCACAATCATATCTGGCAACCAGCGCTATTGTTTGAGATGCTGCACAGAAGTACTGGGTGTATAGACACTGTTGTTTGTCAGTCTGTCCACCATGAGCTTTACTGACAAAGACCAAAAGGCTTATATAAGTATGTGCAGGTGATTGGATTAAAAGGCACAGGTGGAGAGAGAGAGAGAAAGAGAAAGAGAGAGAAAGAGAGAGAGTGAGCGCCATCTTGTTCCTAAATTTTAGTTTTAATAACTTGGTTAAAAAAGTTCAAAACACCAACAGAAACCTGTGTTGCTGATCCAGTGACTGTGTCTTTAAGGTTGCACTGCGTTTGGGAAACTATGAGCTGATTGACCTGTTGCTGACGTTTGGAGCCAACGTCAACTATTACTGCAAAGTAAACACAACACACTTCCCTTCCGCCTTGCAGTACGCTTTCACAGACGAGGTAAACTGGAGAAATCTTTTCTAAAACATACACAAATGTCCATATTCAAAAATGTTACTGGAATGCGCAGTTTTACTAACTTTACTGATGTATTTCTGTACAGTTCTCACCTTTTATGAGGATAACTGTTGTTGTATTTAATCTCGCCTGTTGTGTTTGTTAGGTGGTCCTCAGGATGCTGTGTAACTATGGTTATGATGTTGGGCGCTGCTTTGACTGTCCCTATGGTAATGACTCCCACATCCCTAAAGGCTTCGAAGCATGGACCAACTGCGTGATCAAAGACAGCTTGGTAATGAACAGAGCACACCAGTTCATCATGGATGTCACACTGTAGAGCCACTGGAGGACAAAGCATGTTACCTTGTGTCTAAGGAAAGAAGATTGCCCTAAACTGTACAGATTGTAAAGCCTCTTGATGCAGATTTGTGATATTCTCTACTTGCACAATGTCATCTGACGTATATCCGTTTTACCAGCTGCTCGTCTGTTTACTTCCCGTCAACTTTACAGTAACATTCACCTCCAAACTTAGTGATCACCTCACAGTGCTAGTTAGTTACTTCACATTTCACAGCTGACTTTGTACATAATGTGAATATTATTTACTGTTCATTTTTGTATATAATGTTTTTGATGATTTTGATCATCACCTCAATGTCTTGGATAACATAACAGTTAGCGACGCTAGCTAGTCACTCAGAGTAGTACCAACATGAGCCTCATTTTCACAGCTTAGTTAGCTAACGTTAGGTTAGGCTATTTTTTACACTCTGTGCTTGGAAGAGCTGCCAGTAATGAAAGTGGCTGACATATACCTTTCTGCAAAGTGAGCAGCTGTTTCAAGCGAAGAAAACTCATTGTAATGTTGGTGGTACACTGAGTGACAAGCTAACGATAAGCAGAATCTGTCTGAAATCAGTTTTTTCTGCAGAACGCAGTTTGTTTTTATAGTCATTACAGAGGTGTGAAGGATGGTGTGGAGCACCTGCAGCTCAGTCAGACCCCTGTCCATCTGTCTTTGCAGTTCTGTGAGGTGATCACTGTCTCCTGGCTGAAGAACCTCTCTGGTCAGGTTGTTCGCATACTTTTGGACTACGTGGATCATGTCAACTTTTGCTCCAAGCTGAAGGCAGTTTTGATGGAGCAGCAGCAGTGGCCCGACATCTGCAAGCTGCAAGGTATATTAAACTTTTTCACTCCTTGCCGTGGCTGTGACAACAGAAACAATAGAAAATGTGAGAAACAGGAATACAACCAGTGGTCTTTATTCATCTTTCCTCTCCATGTTTCCTCCTCGTCCTCTCCAGAGAACGTCCGTTGTCTGCAGCATCTCTGTCGTCTGCGGATCCGTCGTTGTCTTGGTCGCCGGCGTCTCCGGACACATGTCTTCCCGAGCTTCCTGCCGTTGCCAGGTCGACTGAGGGACTACATCCTGTACCGGGAGTACGACCTGTATGGCCGGCAGAGCAACTGCACAGCAGCAAGTCAGGGACGCAGAAGTGAGAAGACAGACAAAATTTGTTAAAGGGGCTATATATGAAGTTTTTTAAAGAAATCACTTTTCAATTAATCCCTTTTTACTGCTTATTTGTAAACAGGTTGTAACCTCACATAAAAATTAACTACATGCCTGATTTCTTTGTCCCTTGAACAGCCACCGTTCTGCGTCCAATGTGAAGAAATCTAGTCGAAGTTCTGGCGTGCGTGCTCCCAAGCCTCTTGCCTACTGATTCTGAACCGTACACACCGCGACAACACCGCAACTAATGAAGTAGAGTCTGCTAACACCAAAAAACGACCAACACAAACTCCACGCAAGGATATAAACAACATTATAGTTTCATGCGCTGAAGCCTGTCAGGCCAGCACTAAATTTAGAACTGACAAAACCAACCCAGGGTTGGCTTTCATCCTTTTGGAGAAGTAAACTATCATTCTTGCAAAGAATGTGAAATATATTGTGATTTTGTCTTTTAGTTGGCTCAAGTTAGATAACGTTAGCTTGCCGGCTAAAGTTGTCCGTTGCGAAATAATATATTTGTATGGATTTCCACGTTATTTCACCAGCTGACGTGACCCATATTACTGTCCTGTGTACCACTGGTATTATGTCAGTGTTGATTTCAGTCCGCAAGAACTGATGTTATGGTGCAAAGCAAATGTGAAGCGGATTGTTTTTTTAAAACCAATAATGATGCGAGGCAGGGGCAGCCAGCTACATTAGCATGGATCTGCCATTGTTTGCTTTGTAACATTCAAATTAGATTAATGTTATAATACCAATACTCAGGAACACATATTTTTTCAAGAAAAATGTGTCTCGTGAGTGTTGATAGGCTGTTATTCACAACTTGTAACCAATCAGACTACAGAGTGATGATTACAGACAGAGAGAAACAGCTAGCAAAGCCGTAGCACATTTTCAAAATAAAACCACGAATAGATCCTTACCGTGAGTTTGTGATTCATTGCATCATTGGTGAAGTAGCATTGATCTCTCTGAACCCCCCCTGCGGTCTAACTTTTATAAAGTGTGGCAACAATCTCATTATAATATTCAAGCTAGCGCGATTACCATTTTCATTATCATCAAATAAATTTAGCTGTGTTCACATTGCAAAGCCTCTCTGGTGGAAAATGTACAAAATGTAGATAATATTAATAGAAAAGCAGGCAAGCAAACTAACACTGATGTGTCATCACCATATGTTAGCTAAATGTAGTCAATGTAATGTTCTCATGTAACAAGCATGGATTAGTTCATCCTCAAGCTGATAAAAATATTACTGTAAAGTTGCAGTGGGATTTTACCTGAGTTTCCAGCATGTTGGGTGAAGCTGTCTCCGGTGTGAGCATGCGCATGAGCACACGCTTTGGAAAGTAGTGGATGCAATCTGAAACTGCAACGCTAGCGGCCACTGAACACTACATATAGCCCCTTAAAGTGTTGAATAAAAGCCTTCAATATCATGTTTCTCTCATCCTCCTTCTTACATAATGTTACATTTCACCCGGCGTATGTTACAACTAACCCAAACTATGGGATGAAATATAACATTTCACTCCTTGTGTTTGAGACTAAAACATGCATTTTCTGTCTGTGTTACAGAAGTAACAGTTACACTTTTTAAAAGCACAAAGTACATCTGAGGCTGATGGAAATGTCACTAGTTTTGCAGGTATTTAGTCATAAACCAAAGTACTGGACAAATGAAACTTTGACCGGATGATGGTGCTATAATTAAGGGAAACATGACTGTATGCACCGTATTTCATGGCAATCCATCCAATAGCTGAGAGATTTCCCACAAAAATGTCTTAATGGTTGTGGGAAAAGTCAGATGATCACCAAAGTCATGAAGATTTATCCTCTGGGGACCATGTCTGTAGACCATGTCTCCACAAAATTGCATGACAATCCATCCAATAGTTGTTGAGATATTTCAGTCTGGATCAAAGTGGTGGACAGATGGACTAACATTGACATCCACAGAGCAAAATAATCCTTCACACCACACCAGAACAGAATCAGTGCCAGGAAGAGCCTCATGGTGCTGGTTAGCAGTCGTCAGGTTTAACAGACGGCTCAATCTGAACATTTGGCAGCTAAAGAGTCAGATATTTTTGGGGGATTATTTTCAGCCCAATGGGATGATCATGTTGCTGTTTATGTGTATGGATGTAGGAGATTGCTAACATGTGAGCCACAACAACTTTATTGTGATGTTGTTTCAGGTTGTTGTGGAGTTCTTTCACCTGCTAGTGGCCAAAAAAGTAATTTATTATGCCATGGTTTAGAAATAACAGCGCATAATGTATTTCGTAAAGTTAATTCAATAATTTTATGTGTGTTTTGATTAGTGAACTATGAGTGTGTGCGAAAATTCAAATACATATTAACAGACAATAGTGTTGTAAAGCTATTTATTTATGAAATTAGATTAATCTCAGTAGTTTTGACTAAAATCTCCCAAAAATTAAACAACCAATTTAAAACAGAACAATTTACCTCAAAAGCACAGGATACTTTGTAGTAAAGATGCAAATAAAATAACTATTATAAAGCATGAGGTCTGTCAAAGAAAACTACATAAATGTAAAGATTATTATATTAATAACCCTTCAATTTATTCATTTAAATTCTTTATTAGATTACCATTAATATGGAATATATACAGTATTTACATATAAATATATATATGTAGGAAATAGCATCCACCTACTTTTGCCACTTCTGAAACCAAACCTACGCTCTTGGATTTACCTACTCTGATCTCCGATGTTTTAAATGTTTCCCTGCCTCCTATTCTTAATGTTTTAATTTAAATGAAGAGTGGCATTTACAGGTGGTTTATGATGATTTCCTGTATTTACAATACATAAAAGTACTTCGACATGAAACAAACAGGTATGTGATGAAATGAGCCAAGTCACACTGAAGTCTCAGATTTTATTTTAACTGCTGCAAGAAGATTTTGAAACATCTGTTTTTTGAGGAAATAAATTGGCTTTGAAGATTGAATACCATATGAAAAATTCAGGATGAATATTTTTACATTTGACCATCTGATCTGAAAACTCTGCTGTGACACATCAAAAGATGTGGACTACACACAGTAGGAAGTCCCAGAGGTCACAGACACCTCCTTTAAGAACGAGACAACCTGAGTTCAACCCCTCCACATGTTGTGTTGAAACTCACTGATGAGCCGTCACCTCACTTTAAATATGCAGACTTCTCTCTCAGTCACACTTTATAGATCTTCATCTGCTTCAAAAGAACAACAAATGCGGGAACGACAAAAATAAATAATGGATGGTAAATCAAGATTAAAAGCCACCAACTCAAAATGATGATATACGCAATGCCCTGGTGGTGATGGGGTTTAAAGGGGAACTCCAAGTCTTTTCACAGGTCTTGGTAGATCTTCTACTACGTATGTGACAAACATCGTATAAAGCCGTTTGTGGATCCCGAGGAAGCAAGTGAGGTCTGTTGCGGCTGAAGACTAAAAGTTTGAAATTAAAAAAAATCTGGGGGTGTGACCAGGTCTTGGCCTAAGCACCCGCCCACCTGCGAGATGCTTGTTGAATTCAGGCAGTAACGTGTAACGCAGTCACTCATACAAGCCACTTTGGTGGGTGGCATTCAAAAATGTTGACCTGGGAGTTAGAGAGAGGTGAGTTTGCCAGATGTCGGTAGTTCGCTTGAGGTTAAAGGCTCAAGGCTTCATTAGCAACTACTAGCATAACACATTGTATCTTTGATACAACTGTCTGGGGTTGAGTTGCATTATGGGTAATGCAGGCACTAGTTTTTGGTGTCTGTGTCTGCTGCATCGATTTTGAAACTGGCTTTGGGGTGCAATGCTAAATCAGTGGAATTTTAATAAACTGACCACAAACGTTAACTCTGAGTCCAGCCAGGAGACCTTTGTTCCCCATCTCTCTCCCCTCATTTCCAGTCATCTCTATGCTGTCGACTCCCTAATAAAGAACCCCTAAAAAGTCCTGAAACATACAAAAAGGTGACATATGTAAAGGACTTTCTTCATCTAAATTGTGAAACACAACTTTTTGATTATGAGACAAACTTATGACACATCAGCATTTGACTTACTTGTTTCAAATTATGAGATATGTAAAAGATTTGACTTCCTAAGTAAAAATATTAATTTAAGTTGAAAATACAATAGTAAAATCTCTTACTTATGATTTAACATCTACAGAAGGGCCTTGCATTAATCAAAGAAAAACAAATTGGAGGCATTATCTCATAGTTATGACTCAAAATCATAAAAAAACCCTCACAATTACAGGATAACCATCTCATAATTACGAGACACAGATGTCATAATAACAATATAAGGTCTCTTTTAATTGAGTTCAGGATGACATGGTTGGGTTTTGAGGGTGATGTGATGGAAGTGCAGCTTGTATTCAGTACTAATCGTCCTTTTTAACTTTAACTTTCTAAGGAACCTTTGAGGAACTCCATAACATTTTCACAGGACGAGCCTGAACAAGGACTTTTTGATGGTCCAGGAACTATCAGGGCAGAATCTGCAGTTCTGAATACTTGAAGCCTGGAAACTGCTCCAGCAAAAAATATAAAATGTCAGAAACTTTGTGAAAAATGCTCAACGTGACGTCCCAAAATGTCTTGTCTCGTGTTTCCAACAGCTCAAAATCTGAAGATATATATTTGAATGTTACTGAAATTTGACATTAATGTAGCCCACCTACTGACAGGTAGGTGTGCTTAGATTAACAGTTTACCTACTAAAATAGAAACAACAGTCAGCAGATCCTTATAACTTGCTCCTTTTCAATCTCTTTACATCTCACTGTTCTCAAATTCAAGCTCAGACACTAACAATAGTCTGAAAAACCAACACTATAACTGTTGTTGTCTAAACAAGTTTTTAAAAAAGCCTCAAATAAGCCATTTTAATCTGTCAGTCACATTTTCCTAAACTTTACGGTTCCGTATGTGATGAAAACGCAGAGGAATGTGACATTGAAGTGGCTATAATTTATATTTTTATAATGACAATGTATAAAATCACCCAAAGTGAAAGGGGTCACTACAGATCATCACCTGAATCTGCAGCTTCCCTCAACTTTGTGGAACTTTAAAATGAGTTTCAGCTCATTGTTTATCTGTCCGGCTGCAAATTTACTATTTTGATTCACTCTCTCCCCTCAGCAACAAATAGCCGACAGACAGTTAGTGACTGGCTCAAAAACAAAGCTAAGAGAGTGAATATTGGACTTGAATTTGACTCTGTATTATTATTTGGTCAAAAGGGGCTATTAGTGAATGTGTACTGAGATTTTCTGCACTATAATGCCGACTGGAGAGACCTAGCAGTGCTGTATCAAAACCATTTCACATGACAATGTGCTGCAGCAGGATTCACCTGTCGGGCAGAGCTGGATGACTTTTTATGGTCAGCAATTACAACATGAGCCCAAAAGCTTCTGGAAAGATTTAATCTCACTTACTTTTACTGTTCTAACAAACAGTCAGGATGCAGTCAGATGCAGAAAATGCTGCTGAATAACTGATCATTGAGGCTAATATGATGAAATATCATGATCTGAGAGGACACATGAACCATGGCTGCTTTACACCCTGTGATGACTGTAACAAGAATGTTTGTCGCTGTGGTGAAAACTGACCCGAACAGGAGGACGTTAATGTGCATGCAGTTCTTTACCAACTTGTTAAATGTGAAGTGAAACAAACCAAAGACTAAAGATGGCGTCTATCCCTGTACTAACACACACACACACACGTGCGTGAACGCACACGTTCAATTGAGCTTCCCACCTGAGCAATAACTCCACAGCAGGCACAAGTTTTGGGCTTAGTGAGCTGACTGATGTCTGGATTTGCTGCAACAGTTTTCGTCATGAAACACAATGTGGTTTTGTCTGATACTCAACTCAAGTATGAGACTGAAGCCGAGTGAGCAGCAAATAAAACAGACTTCAGTTAGCTCAATTAATACTGCGTATTCTCCTGACATTTCACACATTGTGTCTCTGATGCACTTAATTTCTTTACATTTTATACATTTGGGGTGAAGACATGTCAAAGACAAAACATTTACCCACTCTAGGGTTAAGGTACAATAAAAAAATAAATTATCACCTCAATAAACCAAAAATAAAATATTCATATTTGCTCTCTTATTCCAGCTCCTGGGGTTGAGTTCCTGTTGCTGTCCAGCAGGGGGCGGTGCTGCTTCACAGCTGGCCTCTGGAACTTGTTGAAGGAAGCATAAATGGACAAATGTGATTGGCTAACACTCTCATCAGGACCAATTAGATGAGACAAACCTTAAAATCTTCAAATGAGACACTGTGGCCGTTTCTGTTGACAGTTACACGATGATGGACTGTATGCTTTGTGTGTATGTGACACATTTGAGGCTGGGGAATAATTCAACAGTTTAAAAACA